GCGCAGCACGTCGGTCTATTGGAGAAGCACGCATCACAAACTGGGACGCCTTTCGTCGTGAGAGCGAATATTCACTCGACAGCCTCACAAGCCTCACCGACTGGTGCACCCAACTTAAAGAAATTCGAGAGCGTTGGACCACCACCATTAACAGAACACCTGCACTGCCGGAAGTGGACGGCCATTTGCTACATCTGTGGGAAGCCCGAAGGAGCCTCATCCGCAGATGGAGGACGCAAAAACATAACCGACGCCTCAAGCTAAGGATCGCCACACTCACCACTCAGGCAGATCAGTACGCTACAGAACTGGCGCGACTCAATTGGGCCCAGTTTAGCGACTCTCTTCGAGGCTCATTGGGCACGGCCCGCACGTGGCACATTTTGCGCGCTTTGATGGACCCCACTCACACAAAAAATGAGACGAATAAGTCAGTCATGCGCCTCATACACGCCTTTGAGGGTACTGACGATGAGCTGCTGGATCAAGTCCGGCGAAAATGCTTTGGCGATTTCTACCCACCCGCATCTCAAGCTGCGTATCGTGGACGTGCCAATGACACTCTCGACCGACCAATAACGGTGGACGAAGTTTACGCAGCCATTCGCAGCAGCAATCGCAACACAGCTGCTGGGGCAGACGGAATCACGTACTCCCTTATCAGGAACCTCAACGACAGTGCCGTACAAGAAATCACGGCGTTTTTCAATAATCATTGGCAACGTGGCACGCTTCCTCCTGAATGGAAGCACGCGGAGGTCATAATGATACCGAAGCCGGGCAAAAAACTTCAGATCGAAAACCTCCGACCAATATCCCTCACTTCCTGCCTTGGTAAACTCTTCGAGCGCGTCATCACTAATCGCGTGCAAGATTACCTCGAAGACAATGACCTTTTCCCGCACTCAATGTACGGGTTCCGGGCACATCTTTCAACGCAAGATGTACTGCTACAATTAAAAGAAGTCATTGATAACGCCCCCCAGCAAGGAGAAAACATTATCTTGACTTTAGACATTAAGGGCGCATTTGATAACGTTAGCCACCAGGACATACTTGAGGGCCTCGAGGCCCTTCATTGTGGGCAGCGCGTCTACAGTTATGTTCACGCCTTCTTGTCGGACCGCACTGCCACAGTCGGTCTCGGCTCCATCCGATCAGATGTTATCAAGGTTCCGAACAAGGGCACCCCGCAGGGCTGAGTGGTTTCCCCGCTACTCTTTAATGTAGCTATGGTTGGCCTGGCACATGAACTCCACCGCATCGATGGCATCCATCACGCAATGTATGCGGACGATATCACCGTCTGGGCCACGCGGGGGTCCCTTGGAGAAAAAGAATATAACCTGCAGCAGGCAGCCACATGCGTCGAACAATACGCGCAGGCACGAGGTCTGGCCTGTGCAACAGAAAAATCTGAGCTTCTACGAATTTATCGATGCAAGCTCCCACCATCGACGCAGAACAACCAAGGCTCCCGCCTCCAGGTTGTCCTTGCTGGCAAACAAATCCCAGAGAAATCCACCATTCGAATATTAGGCATGTGGGTACAGTCGAACCGCCATGTGAATCACACACTTTCCCTTCTCCGCACCACTACACTGCAAGTGGCCCGAATGATATCTCGGGTAGCCACTCGTCGCCATGGCATGCGCGAGGAGGACACCCTGAAACTCATACGTAGCCTCGTGGTCAGTAGGGTGACATACAGTTTGCCCTACCAACGCCTCACCAAGAGCGAACAGGGCCAAGTAGACGCAATGCTCCGCAAGGCCTACAAAGCGGCACTCAAGCTACCACCGGGTACTCCTTCTAGCAAGCTCCTCGCATTGGGCCTACACAACACCTTTGAAGAACTTTGTGAAGCGCAACTCGCCACACAACTGCAACGGCTCAAGCAAACACCTACAGGCCGTGACCTGCTCCTACGCCTCGGCTACATCAGCCAGTTTCACGACGCAGCTCGTCGCAAGCCCATTCCGGACCAACTTCGTGCCACTTATAAGGTCGCTCCCATCCCCCGCAATATGGATCCCCGACTACATCAGGGCCAGAGGGAAGCCAGAGTCGAAGCCCTCGAGCGAACTTATGCACACAAAAACACTACGTACTATGTTGACGCCGCCAACTACGACCATGCAAACAATAAGGCTGTAGCCACAGTCATGGACCACACACTCACAGAACGTACCAGCGCTTCCGTGCGGTGCCGCAACATCACCGATGCTGAAGAAACTGCCGTCGCGCTCGCTCTCGCCCTCGGCTACAGACAACGAAGGTCGCTGACAGTTCGCACGGACTCTCAAGCAGCTTGCCGCAACTACCTACAGGGGCGCATCATCCAACTCGCTCTCAGCGTCATCATGAGCGTTACAGACACTGGCGAGCATTCCATTACACATCCACTCAGAATTTGGCATCGGATTATATGGACTCCGCGCAACATGGGACTGGAGGGGAATAAGGCAGCGAATAGGGTAGCTCGAGGGTATGCGAGCCGAGCACCTTCCAACTCCGCCCCTGAGGAACTCGTTCCGGTCCCTTGCGACTATTCGGCCATCCTAAACCGTTACAGAGGACTTAGGAAAGCTTATTCGCTACCACACCGAACACTAAATAAAGAGGAATCGGTCAGCTGGAGGCAAATTCAAACCGGCAGCTTTCCAAATTTGCACATCCTGAGTAAAATGCACCCCTCGGCATACTCTCCTCTCTGCCCATGGTGTTCAGCTAAAGCCACTCTGTACCACGTCACGTGGGAGTGTCAGGCCATTGCAGCCTTACAACCAGTACAAAATCCAACAGCGGAGCGATGGGAGGAGCTGCTGGCCAGCGAGAACCTGGAAGATCAATTGAGTCTGATCAACCGGGCCCGCAGAGCGGCTGCTGCAAGCGGAGCCCTGGACTAAGGGCCCTCCACCGCAAGCCAAGCATGTCCGACTACTCGGAGCTTCTCCGCAGAAAATTTCATGTAATTAAATAAATAAATATGTTTCCACCACCACCGCGCAGTTCACCATCCGCTGCACGCTTCGCCCGCTTGTCCTCGGCCTCGCGAGCGCGCAGTTCGGCATCCGCTGCATGCTTCGCCCGCTTGCACTCGGCCTCACGAGCACGCAGTTCGGCATCCGCTGCACGCTTCGCCCGCTTACGTTCGGTCTCACGAGCCCTTCGCAGCGCCGCCTTGTCTTCCAACGTCGGTGAAACCACCGCGGTACCGTCACCTCCAACGACGGGTGCAGTGCTGGCATTCGGTTGTACTGCATTCGTTGTTGATGGTAGCGTTGCCTCCGGGACATCCATCGCACGACCCGCTCTCGACGGGAGACTGAGAAAGAAGGCGGGCGCGCGAGAGAGAGGGGTGCGCGCGCAGCTGCAGCGAGCGAGGAGAGCGGAGGAGCGAGCGAAGGAGGAGGGGGACGCGCGCAGCGGCGTTAAAGATATAAGGCATGTTACTGACACCGATATCAGCGTCGCGTCCGTGGCTTATTCGGTAGAGCGTCGCGCTGCGGCCCGCCATTCTTCTTTCTTTTAAAGATAGAGAGAAGACTGCGGACGCCGCCGACGGCAGTGGATGGTTTGGGGTCGCTTATAAAGTGTATTCACACTTAAAACACAGTGTTTTGCGCGACGCATCCCTTGGGCAGTGGTCGCAAAATAATCTCCTATCCTGCGTCTTGACCTTCAGTTATCCTGAAATAAGCTGGTAGTAAGAGTTTCCAACTGGGACCAGCTTGCATCTGGTTCCCAAGGGGCTTGTTCCACAACTAAGTTCTAGTTCTTCCGACTAGAACTAGCTTGAAGCAGTTCAAATTTTTAACTGTGAAGCAGTTCAAGCTCGGCTTAAAAGGTCTGTCTAGACCAATTCATTCACAACCGGCACGCACGCACTTCTTCCGCTTCAGCTGCCCTTACAGACCACGTGCGCCAACATGTCCGACGATAGCAACAGCACAAGAGTATGGTAGATAGACAGAAAAAAAAATAAATGAACGATAGAAGGAAAAAGAAAGCACAAGGGAAGAGAATACATAATGAAGTAGCTGGATTGGAACCCATGAACCGAAGGCGTGCGTCTTATTTGCACGGCTGTTGAGGTACGCTGACAGAACATGTATAGCTTTGTATAGTAATGTTTAATGAAAGCATACGAAAAATAAGTAGTGGTGAGGAGGAGAGGGACAAGGAGGAAAGAGAGTAAAGTGAATAGCATATAAATAATGATAGAGAGCAATTAAAATTGAAGCAGTAGGAGAAAAGGAGAATCAAAGAGAGATAAAGAAGAAATAGAGGAAAAAGACCAAGGAAGCAAAGTAGAAGTAAACAGAGAGAAATACACTGAAAGGAAACAATAAAAAAGGCAGAAAGAAATGAGAGAGAAAGCAATAGAGAAAAGAAAAAAAGTAGGAAAAACAAGCAGAAGATAAATAGTCAAGAAAAAGAAACACTCACTAGAAAGAACAAAGAAGGCCACCCAACTCCCCACTGCCTCCAGAGTTGGCAACCCTCACGCGAAGCTGCCAATGAGCTGCGCTGTCTTTTCGGCATTGTGCATCCTGTGTATGCTAAGGAATGTTTTTTTTTTTCACCTGAGCAGAATAAGTGTCATGCTAGTATCATTCGAAGGTATTTTTAGATGGGTTAAAATATTGTCAATTTTCTGGTTGTAACCAGCAATCTTTTTTGGGGGAAGTGAGGAGGTATTTGACGCCCTCTTCATGTATAGTCGTGCGTGACATAAATTCGAAACGATTGTGCATGACATAAACTCAAATTTTTGAGTTTATGTCATGCACAATCGGGTGTTTTGAATCCTAGCTTCGTTCGCTTGCCTGCACCAGTATTCAACTTGTACACACAAATCAATACGCACATACTCATTCTCCTCTACATCCAGAATGTATGCATTACTTTTTGGCTGAAACACAGCTACCTACGTTTTAATAAATGCTGAGGCATTTATCACAAGCTCAATAACCAGAATCTGCACATGAGACAAGTCTAAAAATCTCAATACCTTTATTTCAACTGCAACAGTGTATGTACTTACAGAGTTTCAACGCGGTTAAACTCACTCTACAATTACACTGGTAACCGCATATGAGGAATGTGTTCAAGTCTTTTACAACCTAAATAGTGGGCACAAAGAAATAAAGAGGACAAAAAAAAAGTCTACATATTTCCTTAGGTCACTCGTCACTCACACAGACAACAGAGTATGCAAGTCTTTGAGTGCACAAGTGCACTGGGCCGACCCTGGCCATCCGAGAGCTGCACATGCGCAACAAGCACAGCAACAAGTTCTTCGTCAAGACGCAGAGCAGACAGAGACATATCGCGGTTTTACAAAAATAGAAAAATACTCCGTCTCCCGCACCTTCTAAGGCACCTGCGTTGTCTTTTGCATAATCAGTATTTGAGACACACGCGATCGCATATACACAGCAGGCGTAGCTCAGTTGGCTGCTAGTGGCTGAAGCTGTCTTTCAACCTTTTCTTTTGTCTTCATCGTGGTATTAGTAACACAAAACTGGATAATCAACTTCAACTTCTCTTTCGAATCATTCCTTCTTTAGCAATTTTCTTGCTGAATCACGATAAAAGCACATAGTTATTAATGATTACTGAATTCTAAACAACCCCTTTTAAATCACTAAGCAGGAATGAACAAGGTATACCAATTCGCCTCAAGAGTGAACAAAGTTTATATGTGTACTCAAATAGTAATAAATTGGCCTCATTTGGTGCTTAGGTGTTATAATACCCAAGAGATTTTAAATGTATCTATAGAAAAACCATGGAAAAAAAGAGAACGAAATGATACACGAGTGATTACTTTACAGTGAATAACTTTTTTCATACTACAAAAGTGTTTGTGAGAACTGTGCCTTGTTGACAATACGGGACCTATGCTATCGAAACGTTGAAGTACATGCTTCTGCAGTTCCGCGAGAAGAAACCGTTATGCCCAAGCTCAATTAACAATGTAGTCACAAAGCCTAATTACTTGAACCTAGCAATTTCTAGGAATACAAGTATGTGCAAGCAATTCCACATATGCAGAAACTGTTGCACCCACACAAGCTCGTTTGCAGGCTGAATGACACTTCACCAATGACCCACATACCATTCTGAGCTGCATAGCTTGCCCCGAGACATAAAAGCCCATTAATAAAAATACTGCTGTATTAACAAAGTTAGCTCTCTAATGCAGCCAGTGCAGTAATCAACCACTGCCAGCAACTGTGCCACGCCAAGTATTGTAATAGAACGTAAATAAGTACACCATAGCAACCTTGTACAATAGACACCACATGTACGAGACCCGCACCTCTTCTATGCAGCTGCACCAGCATTAGGTGGCAATTCGGCAAATGACATGTGAACACTAATACTCTCATAATATTGGACACATCCTCGCAGCTTTAACTGTTTTTCTTCCTTTCTGAAGGCTAAGAAGCACACACCTAATCACCAGGGCCGGTTCTGTTTCAAAACACGAAAACATTCAGCAGTGGATATTCATTTTCCTCATTTGTGACCAATGAACAGGTAATGTCAGCCATGTTTGAATTGAGAGAATCTAAACATCTGCACTTTATTATGAAAGAGCTACGGGAGCTTACCGAGCTTCCTTCACATATTTGTATTGTGTACCAATGTGCTATAAAGAAATCAGTGGCTATCCCTCTACCTCATGAACATCTGCTGATAAATGATTTCCTTGAAGCAAGTCATACACTGTTTCTCTGCTCCTCGCTACCCTAAATTAGACATTGACTACCTGTTGGAAAATAACGTTTCTGGTCCCTTGAAGTTTAACAAGAGTCGCCTGCACAAGTGCAGCATGTAGGGTGAACTCCAGAGTGCTGCCATAATGGTGTACAGTATCAAACAGAACAACTTCGCATCACAGGTAGGCCACCATGTCGGCTTACCTGCAGGGTGAATACACTCAAAAACCCGAATATAACAAAATATAGGGTATAACAAAATGAATCAAAAACAGTTTTGCAATAGATAGTGTTAGAAATAAGCCTTTGTTTCAAATTTTCAGATATAACAAACTTATTTTTGTGTAAGGTACAACATTGTTATAATGAGGTTTGAGTGCACTGCATATGGTTTTAAGGAAATTTGAAAGCTCCGCCGAATGAGAACCAAGCACATACCTCCAGGCAACCATGGCCAATTAAACAATGCTTAATTTTTAAAAATCAAACAGCTCACTGAAACAGGTAGGCAGGCTTGCTGAGTTCTTGCCTTCGAAAATTTTTCACAAGCGCCGCTGTATTAGAAGAATTACTGATATCTTTATAGGATCAGATAGCACAGCTCTGCAGCAACACAGCATCCAAACATTACAGAACAACACAATTTCAAGACCATAACTGTTGCTCCAATCACGGCAATGCAAGAAATGCTATAGTTATCACATCATGAAATTTGCGAATATTCGGCAGTCACACTGAGATGCAAAGCAAGCATACCACACCCTCTTCGAACACAAAATGTGGTCTAATATGCATAACTAAAGCATGCGATGCGATAACAAATAAATATGTCAAAGAAAACTAGCAATGTTGTTGTTTTTTGCCATAAAAGTGTAGTATTCCCAATGCATTCACAGATAGCGGCCACATGAGTAACAAAACCCTGGGCACAAATGCACCTTCTTAGCAAAAGCACGAGCATTCCTAACCTAAAACATTTTACAGAAGTAGCACTTTTACAAATCACTGCGACCTCAACGAAATAAAATAAAAAGGGGGGGAAGTGTCCACGTTGCCAAAACCAATGCCAGTGCATAAATGCTGCAAGCATGAGGTGCGATTCCGCCGAGGTCTCGCAGCATTCGGCTGCATTACATGTGCAAGTTCACGGGCCTGCTTCGCGATATGACATTATACGCTATGTACAAACAGCCATGAGTAGCGGGCAGATGACGCCACAGACTTGCAATCTATCACCACAGAGAACAGTTTTGTGTGAAGTACTTCTGGACACCCACTAGACAGTATAGCGGGCTAATTGAGAAGGCAGTGAAAGAAAAAGGAAACACGGAGCGACCACTGAGTTGAGGTGAAAGAGCATCACTCCTTCCCGCATTTCCCATCGCCAGAACCGTGACACAATGCCAGCCACTCTTCCTAGGCTAATGCAGCGCTACATTGGCAAAGGAAGTGTGGTATGATGGTGGATAGCATAAGCAGCTGCGCACCTTACCCACAATATTTACAAGCAAGCACCGAGAACAACCATATCACAAACGCACAGCTATTGTAGAAAGTCACTGAAGTGTTCAAAAGGCTGCCGCATTAATTAAGTCATAACGCACCGCATATGAAAAAAAATCGAGGCAGACATTAGTTCCGTAACCTTGAGACACAGTGCGTGGTGCCAAACCCACATGAACGCAATCCCAAGGTGCTAACAGAGATGAGTGTACTTCTAAATTATGGGCTACACTTTCAAAATAAATTGTGTTTCACATGCAATGCTAATGTGATACCATGAGCTTGCAAAATCCTGAAGCAGGAATAAGAAAGAAAAAGCACTCTTTTGCAGGTGTCTACCAATGTACCCCGGTATCATGTATCACCCTGAAAAAAAAAAACATAACCAATAGGCAGTACAAGCTCAAAATACTCTGACTTCTCTTCATGTTTCTAAAACGTACTTTCAAAAGCAGCTTATGTACAGGTGCAGAGAAAACGTGAGAACGTTCCCGCGTGAATCACTGCTGTTGCAGAACAGACAACGTGTTTGAGCATTTGGAACAGTCTGCGTTGGACAATGTGAGCCCTATTACGTTCAGCTACGAGGAGCTGCAGTGCCGGAGTTGAAAGCGTCCTTGCATTTTTCAAACAAATTGTACATCCTCCACTCTCAACAGGGTGTCGTTCAGTGTCATCTAAAAGCTTCTGCATTGTGTATTGTGACTGACTACCAAGCTTGCAAGTTTTCAGCAATAATGGCTGCGTAATGCTTCAAATGAGTCAGTGTGATCAGTGCAAAATGAGTACTTTACTAATCAGGCATGCAAGTTCATTTCACTGGCAAAAGTACACTGTAGTACTAATTGCAGGAAGCATTAGCGGTTATCAGTAAAAATATTTACGCATTTCAAAGTTACAGTATCTAATTTTTTTTAATCAACAAGTACAAATGAAAATGAAGAAAGCTTTTATAATGAAATTTTTACTTTTGAGCACATATCTTTGCCTCGCTTTTGCATTGATGTCTCACAAGTCGACTGCTTTGCATAATGTTCCATATAAGAAAAATTTGTTTATTGCTGTAGGAACGAACAAGCCTTGCAGTAGGTCTGCTTGTTTCTTAGAAAAAGTTCTGATCCCTAGTACTGATCTTGTTCTACTGCATTAGTTAGAGTGAAATCAATTATAAACTCTCTAAGTGGAAAAAGAATACATCTATATCTCTAGTAACCATTAAGAATGCCCAATGAGAATGCCCATTTCATACGCAATCTGAATCACCAAGAAGGGCATTCAATTACAAATGTTAGAGCGTGATGCAGTAGTGATGACATCCAGGAATGTCTGTTGATTTATTACTCTATGGTGCCGGTGTTTCATGTCACTAACTTATAACACTGTTGAATAAATCAAGATCATTCGCAAGCTTAATTCCTAGGACGCGTGCGTGAATTGTATGCAGCACTTCAATAGTCATTTGTGATGAAACACAGAGAGCGAAAGTTGGGCGATACAAAGCAAACTTATGATCAATTGGTGCAACGCTGCCACAGAAACATGAAAAAGTAATCAGTACAAGTGCGATATACAAACAACACAGCTGCAGCCTTCTAAACCAATAGTCACAGCTTACTCAGGACAGCTTCGATGTTTGTGATTTTACAGCAATTGCATAGCACTAGAGATAATTCCTACAGCGCACCAAATATAACGGGCTAATTCAAACGGCTAGTGTATGTTTTTCGTGTCCTGAATGTGCCCTCAATTTCCACGTATTCCTGGCAAACAGTGATGCAAATCCTATTGCATAATAGAAAATAGTGGCTGCTAAATTTAGTTATTGCTATACAGATTTGTAGTGGAAACCTTTACTTTGCATATCAGCCGTCCCAAGTATATGTGAGCAATCCTGTTCAAAAAACATACTGGCATTGAAATTTTTTTCAAGGCCAGTTTTTAATACTCGAGTACTGTCACATGTGAGCGTTTAGGTGCATCGCTACCGATGGGTAAACCATATAGTGGCATGTCGCACCAGAGGCCTAATTTCTTTGAAATTCTTTAAGCATGATTCTATTCATTCTCGATTGCTAAGTAATTGTTTCTAAATAACTAAAGAACAGTGATTTTGGCTAGTTATCGAAGTGCACTATTAAAGAGTTTTTAAAACTATTCAAAATATTTTAAAACATTTAAAAATCTGGTTAAAGTTCATTTTTAAGAGGGACGCAAAACCACCGTGTGCGTCTTTTGCCTTCCCTTCCTAACTGCATCACCTTTCCTTCAGCACCTAAATGCTTATGCTACAAACTTTAAGAAAGGTGCTAGGTAGTTGATCTCCAGGTGTTAAAGGGCGGGGTCACGACTCAGTGAATCCATTAGCAGGGTGCCGTAGCTTTGACTGTGACACAGAGATGATTGGCATTTAAAAAATTGTGACGTGATCCTCTGGAGAGCGCACATATTAGGAAAGTTTCAGTGTGCATTGGAAAATAAAGACAGATTGTGATCAGTTGTACAGGACATTTTGATTTTGCATGCAAATTACATATGAACTGGCAGCGATACATTTCATTTCAAAGAATACAGGTAAGATATTGAAAAGCTGAGCTTTTTATCATTGATAAAGATTTCTCAGTTTCTTCCTGCATTCCAGGTCAACAGTTGAAAGGTAACCACTTCAGCTGCAAATCAGAAAGAAACTAGAACCAGCCAACATTCTACCAATGATCGTGAGTATTTTTTATATCAGCTCAACCCAAACGTTATGGCGTTTATTCAGGCTGAAATTCTCAGTAGTGATCTTTCCCACATGCTGATTTATCTTTATACCAGTTCAACCTGATGGTTCAAATGCTTATTCACACTAAAGTGATGTGTTTTGTACAATTGTACAATGATGAAATGTTGAAATGACCTTGCTAGTCACATTTCAGTGTCAGCTGCCAAGCTTAGGGTGTCTGGTGCGACATAAAGGCAGTGTCTATGAATGTTATGTACAAAGTTAATATTACCAGAAAAGGCTGCACGTAGCATCGAATTACAGTTTCTGTTGCAGCAACGTCTATTCTTTTGTCTAAACTGTGAGCAATAAGTCAGAACTTGTTTGTGTCGCGGACCGGCAGCCCATCGTGAACATATTGAGGACGGAAGACACTTGAGGGGTAAAGAAAAAGAATAAGAACTATCAGACAAGGAATGTTAAACCGATAAGCAGGAGGCCTCAAACATTTGCCTCGAGAATTGTTGTCCAGTAGAAGTGAAATTGTAGGCTGACATACGATGAAGAAAGCATCAGTCCTAGTGAGAAAAAGCAAATACTACGGAAAAGAGTATGCATGTCTTCTTGCAGAATGCTACAAAATGCTCAAATGCAACTTAGCTCATGCGAAGATTCAAGATAATTGTTGCTCTCACAGCAAAATGTTAGTTAATGTGCATCGGAAGCCTTTACAACAAGTACAAATCTCAGGATGATGTAATCTGTAGTTGCGAGGCTGACTAAGGCTACTTTGCAGAGCTAACACAGATGTTGCAGCCAGTAAGTCATCGTCCTCCAGCAAAAGTAGGAGCAGATTGTAAGGCGAGTAATTGGTTCGAGTAGATCTATACTCTGTGATGAGTATTTGCAAAACAGTGCTCTTGAAAGTGATATATAACCTTCGAAATTTGCCTGTTTGTTCAGGCCAAATTATTGCTGCAGTTATAGTAGAAAGCAGAAACATTACACTTTCTGCAGAAACAGCGACAATATTTCCTTAAAATTCCTCACAATTTAGTAAGAAAATAAAGGAAAGAACAAGGACCAAAAAAGCAACTTTATCAGTCTCCAAGCAATCACTGCATTTTTTTGTGAAAGCCTCACTGAAGAGGTCCAGTTTGGACAGATTAAAGAATAGTGCTTTTATAAAAGTATACATATTAAGAAGGAACAAATGCTCGTTCCTCATGCTCACATTCAAATTTCATTGTATTCTGTACCTTGTTTCTTTGTGTGTTTCCATCTTCTGTATTCTAAGCTAAGTGCTGGAGTAAATGTATATGAATGCTTAACTGGTGAGTCGATTCGATATCGCAGCTGCTTGCAAATCAGACAAAAAAATGAATGATTTTTAAGACTGAATAACTGAAAGTACCACATTCGTATTTAGCAGTGACACAGTGCCCTCTAGAATGACGAACCAGGCAGCTTGTGATTGTTGAAAGTTTCACGTTCAGCAACTTTAAACATTCCTGCTCGCACTGTTGAACTACTACACGAGTGGCAACTGTGCACACAACGCTGTGCAGAGCATGCTGATGTGCATTGCTCAATATGGATAATGCGTCATTAATGTAACTTTCGTGAGCATGAGTTTAACTTTTACAGGCTCGCTTAGAATTTTCTAAATGTGTTCTGAAATATTATTGGAATAAGAAAGTCCCAAGAAGGTGTGAAATGACACTAAAGTATGGCGACTATCTATGCAGCATTGAAAACTTGCATATTTTTTTTTGACAATCCCTGCAATAAACTCTAATTGGGACTAAAAGGATATATTGAAGTAAAAATAAGGTTTATAAATATAAAACTTCCTCCAGCAGGTTTGCATTATCAATTTCTTTGATTTCTTTGTGAATTCCTGGATGCTTCATCATGACTATGGTGTAGATTTTTTTATGAAGTTACGTGATTTTTTCCCAACATTGAAGGGCTTTTGTAAAATTGATTAACCATGGTGAATGGTTTCATCTGTCATGTATGTTTACTTTTTTATATCACTGAAGCAAAAGCAGGCTCGATAAAATTTGCGCATATTGAATAAATCGTAAAAGTTAGTATATTACAGTTGAACAATATTTTTTTAGCTGTTATAGATTACAATGTGCCAACCTTCATGCATAAGTTGAACTATGGAAACAGCCATGGACATTTTGATTATTTATCTGTTATTAGTGGCGTGTAGTCAATTGCCAACAGCATTGCTCTGCAAATCTTTTTTTCGACAAGCTCACAATTTCAGTAGTGTGCTGCAATTCATTATGCAACAAATTTTAAAAAAACAAAGTTAAAATATGCAGAAAACCACACAGCAAAGCTACAAATAGATGGAATAATGATCATTCCTAAGTATTCTTTTAAAGCAGTAATAAAACTTAAATATTGAAATTGGTGCGGAATAAAAATTCATTATATTGATATTAAACCTTGACAACCTTTTTTCCACTGATATGGATTTTTTAAAAATGTAAGATAAAACTCTTTCATCATAAAATGACTAAACCAACTGGTGATCACCAAACAAGAATTTCTGCAAGAATGCAACTGCGCAAAAACATTTCCAGCTGAGAGATGCCTGTTTGGTAATTCCTTAGACCCACCAATTCCTCAGAATTATAAACACTTGTATTAATTGAAAGAATTATTGCGGTGGTTGTATATGCAGTCTAGAAACATTGCAGCAAATCACTAAATTAACAATTTTTTTTCATTAGCACCTACCTTGAATCTTGGCTTAAGTAGTGAATAAATAGTACTTAGGAGAGTGACAAATCTGCTGTTGTGACTAACAGACTTGAGTTTGTTCAACTTTATGCATTTGGCCACAATTAATTCTGTTTAATGGCACATAAAATCAGTAGCTCAGCCTTGAAGCTGCTGCTGGACAGTAACTTTTCAGTTTAAAAGGGAAGTAACATTTAAAATTTTGCTTTTGCCACACACTGCATGATTAAGATTTACCAGCACTGACTGCAGCAGACCTAATTGCAAAGCCGAAATTGCGCCATCTGAAACGTATCGACCACATAGACCATTCAAGCGATGAGTGGTTGATTTGGCTCTATTGGTAGATTCTTGTGAAGATATTATTTCTGTCATGCATGAAAATTGGTGGAAGAAAGAGACACATGAAATGTCAACTGTTCAAGAAAAAAGACGTTAGTATTTTCCTGCTGGTTATTGCTGATACGGGAAACTGGGGCTGACTTGAGCAAGCATAGAATTTTTTTTTAGTAAATAACATCTGACCAAATAATATTCCTAGTTACTTCTTACAAAGGTGAATGGCTGTGGTTATGTTGGCTTTATGAATGGTTAGGTGTTTTGACAGTGGAGAATGGAGTAAAACACAATCCAAGCAAACCATAACGCTGAATGCAGCTGTGTGATCAACTTAGAAACTGGTAATAACTTCCCAGTCATTTCAGCTGATAAGTCCGCAAGCCAAATGTGCGCTTGTTCAATAAGCGATGCTACAGCTGTTAGAACACCCGTAAGTTGAAATTTTGATGCCCGTGCTGTTTTCTAATGTAAAATTTCAATGAGTTGTGACAGGGGTAGTTGATTTGCCTTCGCAAATGTTCATTCGCACTTGCGTGCCCAATCACTGTAATGTTGCAAAAGCAGTCTTTGCACACTGCTGTTGGCTGTGCACATTTTGGGTAAGAAAAAATCATGTGATGGAGAAAGACGCCTCCGCACAAGTCTAAAACGAACAAATCTTGGGCTGCATCTTGAGTCAATATAAACATGTCAAAAAACGAGAATTGTAATAAAATATGAGAAATATTAAGAGGCATTTTTCTACATTTCAGCAGTTCTGACTTCTACCTATTCTTGTTGACATGTCAGAACTCTCTGACTGTTATTCATTTTTATATGTGGCTAATACAAATGGTGTGTTAAGTATGCTATTATGGTCTTTGCATGCTCAATTATTATTGTGCTCTACATTTTTCACAGCCGAAACGTATTTCAGTGTTTTTCGGTTGTCTCACTAGAAATTTACGCCACACTGTATAATAGGTGTAATCATGTAGTATTCCATGTAGGTTTCTTTTCAAAAGATTGTTGTGGGTGTGCACTGTAAATGATACAAGCATGATTAGCTTGAGCATGATGACCATATAACCAGTCACTTTGTTGAGCAGCTCAGTAACAAGCACATCGCAACCAGCATATTGAGAATTTTTTTCAGGTTAGCTGTGATTTTATGCCCTCGTAATTTCTTCCTCAATCATAACAAAGGGCACCTAAAACAAGTTACCCTACGACAAAGAACATGCCTTCATCGTGCCAACTAGCGATTTCTTATGTTTTAGAGCCAAATATGCAGCCTTTTTACGAGTCTTAAATCTTGCGATGGAAAACATGCTCAACGTTTGGGATGCCAATATGTTCCTTACGTCAAATGTCCTTGCTAAGAGCAGAAAACTGTTCAGAATAATTTCAAGTTTTTGCAGTTGCCTATACACATCTGAATCACCCGGCTGAATGCAAAATCAGCTACAATACATACAACAATGAAAGATTTCATGACAGCAGTACCAAGGCAAGATTTTGAAGCACATTCAACAAGTGAATTCTTGACAGGCCACTCTGGCGAACTTTCTGAGAGAGCTCCATGCAACGGCTTTTTAGCTGCCGTAGTTCCATCATTAACGACTCTCATCCATCGTCGGCTTGGTCCAGCCAGCAATGTCCAAAGTACTACGGTGCCGAAAGCATTATCATCTGGAACTTAATCATTTCCGGCTTCCCGCTGGAATGCCGTGTTTAAATTTGCGTGCACTGCTTCAAAAATACAATGAAAAAAAAGTGTTTTGCTTCTCAATATTTCCACTGAACAGCGTTTGAGACAGGCCCTCCAATCACCAGCATGGCAGGTGCCGTCTCCTGAACTCCATCTTCTCGAGATACGAGGCATGAAATCAGTGCTGCACAGCAAAGCAGGCTGAAACCAACGCCAGGAGGAGCATTATCGCTTGCGTCGACGTCAGGGTTGTCCCGGTCGAGCAGAGACTTGAGCCGTAGTAGTAGTTGTCGCAAGTGGTGCCCGACGAACTCTAGCGCCTGCTGCAGGATGCTCTCAACCTAGGGCATTGCGGTCTGTGCTGCACTTCACCTGGACGGCCGTGCGCACAGCAGTGGGCGAAACTCTCCAAAAGCACTGCACAGTGACAGAAAAAAGAACACGTAAGGAAGCAAAAAGCAAAGCTTGGTTCTTCATGTGCAGTATGTATTCCTCGTGTACTCATTGATGGTGCACCACTGTTGTCGCTCCAAAAATGAAGCAGTTTGAATTCTTTACTGCCTCTGCTACATTGCTAGGCGTGCTGGCACTGAAACATATTTAGAAACGCTGCATAATATTGCTCAACATGTACAGGTGGTATAGTTCGTTAATGAGTGTAGCGTGGAAAAAAGATGACACTAACTAAAAAATGCACACACAAGCCCTTAACTTCAGTGCAGTTGAAGCCTAGCACTTTAGACAACTGCAAAATGTGGCACACAGCTGTCCATTGTCTTTGTTATGAGATACTAAATGTTTTGTGTGGCCTATAAGCATTTCGTTATACTTAGTGTTAAAACATTATGTTAGATCATAACCTACTAAGCAATAGTATGGTGAAAAAAGCCAACAAAGCAGATTCTTGTACATTCACTACTAATTCTTTTGCAACCAAGATTCATACAGCACCAGCATTCTGTAAATATTATTTATTTCTGTCAAACGGAAATATAAGCTGATAGATCTGTTAAAAGCAGAGAGGAGTTTATTTTTTATTTGGCATGCCTCAGCACTTACTAAATTAAAAGTGCATGTCTTCGCACATCTTCAAATATGTGCAATAGAACAGAAAATAAGGCAACTAGGAACACTGACCAGCAAAGCCTAGTCTTGTGCTCTTCGTCGGAGAGCTGTAGGCCTGTTGACTTGCGATTGGATGACTGCTTCCGGTAGCCAAGGCCGGCTGTAGCCTTCTGGTGTTTGTCCGTGCATCGTTGCAGATCTCTGCTCACAAGACTAGTGCAGGTGGCCTGGTTGATTGCTGCTAAGGAAAAGGTCAGTATGGTGGTGCATTAGCCACTGCTATGTTGCTTTGTTTTGCGCACTCGCATCTCTCAAAACCATTATGCGGTGGACATAGTGAAGACCTAACACGATATATGTTGCAATTAAAACATTGAAAGTAATGTAGCCTATCAAACACAGTTTGAAAGCATAGATGCCTTCGATGTTCCAAAAAAAAGGGGACTTAGACGTACTACCTGCGCTAAGTGGGGTCCTATTGCAAGTGAGATTTCCGCTCAGGATCGGAACAGGCATTTTATGGTGACTGAGGATGAAAGCCCACTGCGATCAAGAAACCTAATCCAGCTTGGCCTCCATCCCAATTCAATGCGCCCTGTGTGACTAAACAGGACAAAAGTTCCAATAGAGATGAAAGCGAAAGTGATCAAAAATTGGTAGACAGTCACGTTGCCAGATGCATGTTTCAACAAATGTATTTGCCTTCTTCAAGGCCACAGCTGTCTACCAATTAGCAGCCTGCTTATGCGTGCTTTGCTCTCTCTCCTTCTGAAGCTCAAAAAGAGGAGAAAAAGAAGAGAGGGCATGTGCCAAAAGGAAGGGAGGGGAGAAAAGGAGGAAAAGGGAATTGGTGAGATAGAGTGCTTGGCTTCAAAGCTAGGGTTGGGGTTCTATATTGTATTGTCAGGGAGGCAAGGAATAGGAAAGAAAGAAAAAACGAAGTTGGGAGAGAGCACTAGGCAGTGACAGAGAAAGGGTGCTTTAGGACCACTAATGCAACACCTGAGGAGGGCAGAACCACACCGTGTGTGTCAGTTTTTCTCACAGCCATATCCTTACTATTATTGCTTTACTCGCCACCGCTCCGCTAATGCATCATCACTTCCCAGACGTTTCAAAAAAGGGCATTTCAAATAGCATGACTTTATCATACGACGTTTGTGTCTATGGCTTTAGATAAGAAACTTCAATGCCTTGGTAAACTCGGTGGGGGGATTTTGATATTGCTGATGAAAAACATACTGTTTTAGATAGTAAAGAAAAACCCTTACCTGATAATATGCATAGTGAGAAACAGTGGCAATTAGTAGGATTTACTCAATTGTTATGGTGCATACCAGTTTATGATATCTCGTGACAGCTACATGACAGGATAAGAAGTTGAGATCTTCAGGTAATTCCCCCATAATAGGGATCATAAACTACCAAGTCTGTACACTGGTTTTGGTAATGTCAAATGAGAGAAGGGAGGCATTGGGCGAAACATAATTTCATAGGGGGTTACTTATTTGCCAGTACAATGTACTTATCTTTTAAAATGTGATTTATTGTCGGGATGAATCTGTGGCACTTGGGCTTTCCATCAGCCTATCGCCACGGGTATAACCAGCACTACTCTGCACTTGCAGCAACATTGTGCAATTCATCCTTTTTTTTTATTAAGATGAAAGCCCTAACGCTTGATCAACCACAAAAACTGACCGTCGGCGTCGGCATCAACACAAGTGATGCAAAACTCATCATGCCATGATGAGACATGCCGTCAAAATTTGGGACTTCGTCCCCATAATAACAGATGATGGTAAGCATGTTGAGTGGACTGTTGAGCATGTTGTGTTGAGCATGTTGAGTGGCGCAAACCGTCATGTATCGTCACGCCACATCTCGTGACGACATCACTCGACATCACGGCTTGGTGATTGGCCAGTCCTGGACACAGTGCAAAACCAAGTGAAGCGCAGAAAACCTGTAATGTCTCCAATTTTAGAGGCTGACAAAAGCACGCTAGATGCAGAAAATATTTAAAGAGGGAAGGAGCAGGATTAGCTCATGAAATGAGACGAAAAAGAAGACGTCTTTCACTCTCGAGTCACCTTAGGTGAATGCACAGGGACCCTGTGTTTTTTCTTTCACTGTTCTCTTCTGCCAGGGTAATATAGTAAACAAGCCACTCTCCCAACTTATTTATTCGACTCTCACAGTGATGAGCATTTTTTGAACAGTCCTCACCTGGAGTGGGTGCAGCTTCAATGCGCAGTGGCTGTCGGTAATCGTCGCTGCACATCCAGGACAGTGTTGGCTCCCGGTCGTACAGAAACAGGCCCAAGAACTCAATGCCCTCTTTGTTGCACACAAGGCTAGCAGCCCTCCGCATGCACCTCTGGTAATTCATGTACCGCCTGCAAGCAACCGAGACGTTTCATCGCTCCAGTCGCGGTTTTTTGTCATAATGATCAAGAATGTCACATTCACAAAGATAACCCCCGGTTCAGTTAGGCATAAAATGTAACCTGTGCATCACTAAACCTCTCAATCCGTTTGCGTTACTGAAGAAAATATATTATTTAAACAGGAGCACAATGTAAATTTATCGTGCCTAAGGCCCTTTTGACAAAGATAAGTTCTCTTATCGAAACGTCGGCCAGCCTGTCTGAGGCACTTCCACTGTTCACCCTGGTTATTCCACTACGTGTTTTCATTTGTTGGCTCCCAACTTCGTTTCGGACTAGCAAGGAAATGTATTTCAAGCCGCATTCTCTACATACTTAAATAGGTTCACCATACTACTTTATGAAACTCCAAAGATATGTAAATGCTTTTGGCTACCCATACTCGTAATTCATAGGAAAATGTTAAGGATGCAAAAAACGTCGCTTGGTATGCTGTATGGTAAGTTGCGTCCTTGAAGAACAAAACTTCTTCGGCAGTTCATTATGGCTGTGAGCTTCAGAAAAGCTACAGTTACGCTACAGTTATGCTATTGTGCGATGAGCACTGTATAAATTTTCTGGATACCAGTAGATGCAAGGAAATGTGAATGGATGCATAAGCGCAAGCATAAAGAAGCATATCATTTTTCTGCGGCACAGATTCTAGTTGTAGTTCTTGTAGCTTCTCTGTATATTAGTTATTTTTCTGTGATGTTCCTAGGCAGGAAGAAAATAATTGGAAGTACAACAAGAGACAATTTGCACCTAATATGGCAGCTTAATACTGAATCCTTATGGAGAGCTTACTCAGAAAATCTGATAAAATAGTATATAAAAACCAAAGTGCAGCAAAGGAAAGACAAGGATGTAGTTATTTCATACCTGACAGTGTACATAAAAGATGTCAGCCAAGGAAGCACGAAAATAAGTTACGTTGTCCAGTAAACATTTTACAGATTTCTTTGCAAAATTTCCTAGAATGCCTTTTCACAAATAGGAGCAGCGTTATGCATTACTAATGTCGGGGTTTAAAATCACAATAAATAATTATGAGGGCCACCATAGTGGAACGCTTCAGGAATTAGGACAACCTAGTATTATTAAATGTGTGGGCTTGCGTGCATGTCACAAAGCCTTTTCGCGCTCTGTATGATTTTGATCGAATAAGTGGGCCGGCTCAGTCATGAGGTCTTCTGTTCATATAGCATATATATTCGTTTCTTCAATAAAAATTTCAGTTGAAAATCAGTGCTGTATCGTGTCCTTGTCTCTAGTCTATGTCCGGTTGTTTCACGCTGTAAGCCACACAGATATGAACTTCACAAAACGCTTACCTGCACTGTTCTTCAGATGGGTACTTGCTATTGAGCTGATATTTCTTCATCTGAGCATCGTAGTCGCCGTTGCAGCGCTGAACTTCGGGCTTCTGAAAGCATGCACCATCCTTCCAGTGCTCTGCATCGGGAAAGACAGCGACGGTATGTATGAAACAGCTGTCCACACTTCTGGAATGGAAGCCGCTATTTTGTTAAGCTATTCACCAACTTGCCCAACAAAAAACACGGACTATTATATCTCGTCCAAAAGAGTTAAACTTTCACTGCAAAAGCGAGTTAAAATCATAGCAAGAGTTTGAAATGCTATACGAAGTGAAGCTATCAATTAGCTTTTATTTACCATTTGATCTCGAGTAGTTCATAAAGCTCTAGCCTAATTAAGGGACCACGGTTGCGAGTGAAGTCATTTTATTACTGTCTCTCCCTTCAATGCGAAGAGGGTGATGAGCACAGTACGTGCAAAGGTATGAGCCGCCTACAGAAGGCGCTCTTTTACCAGAGCTCACGGTTGCTTCCCGAGCACCACATCCCCCTCCCCCTTCCCCACCATCGATCACTCCTTCATGCTCCTTAGTCCGACAAAGCTGGCCGGCGCGCTTGATCTCTGCTTCAGCCACACCCGTTCGCAAACCTCTCAAGTTTTCACTCGCATAAAACACACGACGTGAAGGGCGATGTTGTCGATTTCAACTTTATACGAAACACGACAGCAATGGCACCGGCAAAAACTTGCCACGAGAGTCCATATAATTCCTGTTGCAATAAAAAAAAAATATGGACCATCTCCCCCGAAGGGAACCATGATGGGGTGACAAGGAGCAGCGATGCCTGCGCCGTTGGCCCGGCTGAAACGGGCGTCAACGCGGGTGCTGGAAGAACGGCTTCAAGCGAAACTCGGTGTAGCCTTTACTCGAGTAAACGTTTCTTTTAAACACAAAACACAGGGGTGGGTTAAGTTCTGTGAAAGTTTTATCGCACATAAACGAGCTGGAAGAATGTTTCCACTCGACGTGCAGCTGAGCGTTGCTGGCGGTGGGGAAGGCGATGTGAGTGAGAAGTGAGTTGCGAGCGGGCGAAGGCACTGCACCACCTTCGTGTGTTGCGAGGAGCCGGCAGCTGCTGCGGGTGAGAGAGAGAGAGACGTCAATGCTCAGCAGCGACTTGACCTACTTGGCATCGTTCCAACAACTGGGGCGGAGGAACACGTTGTGGCGCATTGGCATGGAGACACGGACGCACAGCGTTACACAGCCTAATCACAGAGCTGCTTCGCATCTTTAAAAAAATGTATAACAAGGGTTTTAGAAGTGTGAACCATTGGGCTAGTTGGCGTGGCTTTCTATGATGAAGAAAAGCAGCATAATGGTCAATGAATTTCACCCCAATTAAAGGGGCCCAAAGCTCTAGGCAAAGCCTTCGGGCGATTGATTGCAAGAAAATATATAAGCTATTAATAGTGTCCATTGATTTAGCGTACCTTTCGTAGCAGTTCAAGCTATTCTGCTAAAGGAATCACGGGTTATACGGCAAGCCCTACAGCTGCATACAGTCACTTGCCTTTGACGGCGTCCCGGTCTTCGCAGGTGGCATACGCATATTTACGCGCCGAGACGATGACCTGCGACTTTTCCTCTTTCTGCTCCAGAGGCAGGCACAGGGCAGTGTAGTTGAGCAGGCAGTTCAGGTTCTGCCGGATGTACCTGCACACGGTGATCAAGCATGACTTTCAGGATCCCATTAATTGGCCTCTTCTTGAAAATCGTCGTCATGACTCCAGAATAACGTTTCTCCATAGCATTTACAATTATACACAACAGAGATTTTTCAGGCACTCGGCTATGTTTCTCAAAGACTGGATTATCAGTTTAAAATACTTGAGATACCTTTAAGCGTGGCGCATTCCGCTACTCTTTCTTCGCACTTATACGAGGCTGGAACAACCTGTTACCGGAAACTGCCTGTATGTATTCAAAGGACGTTTTTTTTTCATGCTTTATGAATGTATTGTTATGTGCTTATTTATATGTAATGTACCCTCCCTGCTGTTGCACCTCTTGACGAAGCAAGTATTTTATAAATAAAAAGAATAAATAATGTGTGTCCGAGCCTTCTTTCCACCACTTTAGAATACAAATATTGATGACGTTGTGTTCGTCCATAACAGGTGTCTCAAACATGCAGCCCGCGGAACTGTTTGCTGAAGCCGCCGCCTACACATGACTGTCTTTGTCCCACAATTTATTTTCTTAATAACTATGTTCGTGTACTACACAGCTAGGTGTAACTGCATGGTCTCAAGACTTTTTATTCGTGAGGCATCCTGTTGTGTACTACAAATGACATTTCCTATACCTTCCCAACTCGGTTGTAGTTATTGTTTCTAGAATGCATTTCTATAATTCCTCTTCATTACATTTCATATATGAGATACGAGAACAGCCTGTCACACGGCCACGTTAGAAAGCATGATGGCAAATATTCCCAGCACGCAAACCCAGGAAAAGAATCAGGCAGTGTAAAAAAGAGAGCTCTTTTATACTCTGCCTCATTTTTTCCTGTGTTCACGCGTTGTGAATATTTGCCATCATGAACCGAAACCGATTAGTCCAAGCTTTCACACTTATAAGTTCGCAAAATTTTTGTTAATTTTGTCTCCCCCCCCCCCCCTTCTTCCTCTAACCTTACCTGCCCCGCCTTGCCGGAGACTAAAATTTAGCAGCTGTGCCCGACAAGCTGATGCACGCCTTAGGCGACAGTTCTAGAGCGTATCACATTTTTAAAAATGGTAAAGGACATCAAATACGCAGATGAACAAAAGCCACAGATATAAACACAATAAAGATGTCTCAAACGTGACCATGATTGGCACCAGGCCACTTTCCTTATCATCATCATCAGACTTGGCCAATAAATACCTGCGGGCGCACAAAAGAATTGGACAGAATTAACCAAAATGTCAAATGGTGTTATACTTGCACGCTAAACTTTTTGGTATGGCTAATTTGTGGCTCGGACTATTATCAATCTCAGTTGAATGATCGAAACCCACCACAAAGGAAGCATTGTGTACTACGCCTTCAGCTGTTAAAATATACATATCCGCTTTTTTTACTGCATTATTTTTTCTGTGATAGTTTAACACATATGTGAAGTCTTTATCTCATTAAATATACTCTTATTTAAGTACTAGCTTAATGACTACACGGACAAAGCACTCCTGTTTCAACAGTTTTGGGGCTGTGTTTTCGCAGCAAAAAAAAAGTTAAGTGGCTGTAGTGTATAAACAGGCTTCTATTGCCAACAGCAGTTAGTACACGCTAGAGTGAGGGTAATAATTCACGAGCAACCACGGTTCCATGAAAAGAAAAAAAATAATCTTGTTTCGTTATGTCATCTTGAACTGAAAAGTTGTTTACCGCATTAAGCGTGAAGTGCATTACAGAAGTTTGTGCAGTAAAGAACTTCCGCGATGCTAAAGCGAATACGCGGAGTGAATAAAGTAAACATAGAGTTGCAAGGAAGCAACGTAATTAGTTTGAAACGACGATTAATGTGCGTTAGCGAAAATGCGCTTGCAGCGCTATAGATAAAGCAACTGCGTTGCAAGTGAATTACATGTTTGCCACTTAGATAATTTTTGATGTCATTAATAAAGGCATGAACTCGCAACTTTTTAAAGCAATTATTGGCAGCTAAGGAGCTTAACGCAGTTCGAAGCTTTCTCAAGGCTGCTCACTACACCCGCGAACATACGCGCTTGCAAAAATACACGATCAAAAGAAAGAAGGGTGCCGGCCTTCCTATTAATGCAGAAGCTGAATGCATACACCATGTCACAGCAAAAAGGATAGAAAACAAACAAAAAAACAGGTGCAGAAAACAAAAGCATAATCCATCAATATATAAAACTAACAGTGACACTTTATCGAGAGCCTCGATGCCCAAAGTAGTTTGCGATAGTTTTAAGCGTAAAAACCAACTACAACTACAGAGTCTGCACAAAAGTCGGAATGAAATAAGGTGTACAGGTCTTGATGTCATGTAGAATGCCTAGCTGTAAGAGTCTGAAAAGACAGGCCACCTTCTCGAGATTGGTAAAGACCATCACCAAGAGCCAGGGCCGGGTGCATTTTTTCCCATTCGAAAAATGAAACTGGCAGACTCCCCACCGCACTTCGAATCAAAACGAGTAGTTGCGATGACGTGGGAGGTATATATGCTCCCAACCACCACTTCACACGATCACTTCGCGATCATTTCCATGGTCTTGCCAACACTCATTCCAAGCACACGGCACACAGTGCTCTGTATACCTAGTCATATTCCTAGCCACAGAAAGCTACATGGACAATGTACAGGAGCGAACTATTTTTTTTTCAAAGCGTCCAGTAAAAGCAGCCTGTCTTCAACGCTTCCCCAGTTACCGCTATACGCACAGACCTATTTTGTGTCGAGAATAAGCGTGCGCAGACTCCAACTCCTTGCATACAATTTTGCCACTGCAATGCTTTATTCTCTAGAAAGATACGTAACAAACTAAATTTTTCTCTATTTTGACCATCACCACTTCAATACACTCGTGTTCCATCCTGACTAAATGTTCTTGCTCAATGGCTAAGTGATATTTTTGTTTTCATATTTTTATGTGTAAGACATCAAACTACCTAACTTTTGATCTTGATCTAATAGTCGAGTTGCCTCTGCAGTTCTTTTATCTAACCTTTTGATGTGGGTATGAAATTATGCGTATATAATATTTCATTTCACCCTATTTGATGTTCCGTAGTCATTACGTAAGATCATTTACTGTTGCGGTGCATCTCGTACCTAATGCTTCTTATGAAGCCTGTGACAACTTTTTAAAAATAAATTATAAAAACGTATGTCTGATGGCATTAAATGGTATGAACCGGTTCTCGCTGGAAACTATAGCAGCTCCCAGTCACAGACGATTGGTGCCAATCAGGTCCAATTAGAAATAAACTGGACAGCACAATATTTTACCTGGGATTCAACTGCAACCACGGCTGTGATCACACTGTAACCGATTGGATCCTCAAAGCATTCCATCAACACGTTTCTAACCGGCGTAGCTGATGCAGTAGTGGTGTCATTTCGAATTAGTAATGAGTACAGTGAGAGTATCGGACACGTTGTGCGAAGGTCGCAGGTTCGATACCTGGCGGCGGCTGGTTGCCTTTTCGTCCGCTTTAATTTCTCCCCAGTTACATATCTATGCTACAGTTAAACACAACAAATATGTGCCAAGTACTCCCCTTCGCTTCAATATCTGTCGGTTTCATTAGCTTGACTCTAACAACGAAAAATGAGTCATTGATTCATTTCTTTTTTTTTTGTACGAGGAGAAAGTACCTTATCTGTCCAAATTATTTTTTGCTATCCGATAATGCCACACTTCAGAGAAAAAAAAATGCTAACCCCACCGCTATGCATCCCCCGATGACGATGGTTACCCCCTATACAGAAGGAACAGAATATCTATTGCGTCACCTAGTCGTGCCCTCAGTGGTCGTACCATAGGCTATATGGTATACCTATAGTGCTACGCCATTTCGGAGAAAACAGTCGCCGTAAGCGAGGTCTCCGTGATCATGCATGCACTTACCGACATCGCGTAAGGAGTTCGGGGACAGTGGCCCTGGAGGCATCGTTCACTTGCTGTGCCAGCAACACGGTCTCGCACTGCTGCGCACGGCTTGCGCTACAGTCGGCGAACTGGCCGCTGCCTTGGCACTGCGAGATGAAAGACAAGCTCAGTGAATGGAGTGCACTCGAAAACAACACCATCATGCAAACACAAAGAGTGCGCAGAACCAAACATACATCAAACAGCAAAAGTTTGCGGGACACGAAGTGTTCGAGAAAGCTTTAGTGTCACTTTCACTCTGAACATAGCTTTCAAATAAATGATCCAGCCATTACCTGGCATATTGCAGCCTACATATACAGCGACCAGAAGTATTAGAATCATTGCGCAACCATTGATAGAAATTCTCGTTTGTTGCAGAGCCAACGTCTCGCAAACGTTTTCTCCTGCATGGTTACACAGTTACCTTAAAAGTTGCACTTGTCAAAAAATATCCCGGACACTTCAGACGGGTTTCCATGACGGCCTGTCTTCCTATCATCCTATTGTCATCCTATTGGGTGATTGTGTAGGGCTGAATAATTTAGAGTGCACAAGGAATTAAGCATCGCTACAAGTTGTTACAATATATGCTGAAAGCGTGTCATAGGCCACTACATTGCTGTACTGCGCTACCTAAGTACAGTCGGCTTCAAAGTACAGAGGTGTCAATATTTTTTTTTTAATATTTCCCAACATTTTGTGACTCTTTCCGATAAAACTGCACAGTCCAAGTTTGTGCGTATGCTAAATGGGCAAATTTCTAAGTTACATGTTAAAAAGAGCACATCACATGAAGCAGTGATTGCTAAGCAAGTATCTGTTATACAAACCACGGATGCGCACGTTTACGGCAAAATACTGGCATCTAATCCAACTGATTGATTCATATGTGTAGATTAACGTCCAAAAATCCCCATATGGTTATGAGAGACGCCGTAGTGGAGGGCTCCGGAAATTACGACCACTTGGGTTTTTTTGACGTGCACCTAAACTTGAGCACACAGGCCCACAGCATTTTCGCCTCCATCTAAAAATGCAGCTGCCGCAGCCGGCATTCGATCCCGCGACCTGCGGGTCAGCAGCCGAGTATCTTAGCTACTAGACCACCGCAGCCTAATGCAAATTAACCACATAATTGGAGAAATTATGGAAGCTTTAGAAATGAAAATGCTGGTTGAATGACACTCGAAAGTGAATGATGCGTGTATTGTACAACGCATGTTTTGCACACACAGTAGAGGGTGATGAGCACTGTCGTTCTTGTAAAACCATTAATTATGGAGTGAGTACGAGAAGTGATTCCTGATTTGTGAGTGTCATTGCACGTAGCCGCTCCACCAACAACCTCGCTATGTATGCATGCGTACCGCCTTTTATAAAACGGCGATATCACGTAATAATGTTTTCATTTGATGCCAAGTAATCGTTAGGCGAAGACATGGTGGCGTCACAAATATTGGCGACTGTAAGAACACGACATGACGTGAAAAGGCGACGTCACTGCACGGTGATGTTTTTCGTGTTCGTGTTCACGCCACATCAGGTCACTTTTCGCGTTTGTGCAGTCGTCGAAGGCGTTCACATACATCACCAAGTTAAGATAATACATCGGCATATGAGGAATTGTTAAAGCAACGTCTTATGTACCTGTTACATGCAAGAAACCAGGGTAGACGGTTGTGAGAAAGAAATAACGCACATATCAGAAGGTCGAATATTTATCGTAATCATTGGTGCCTTAGCGAAAACCTCGCAACAAGGGTTATCTCTTTATTCGTCTTCTATTATTTCCACTCAAGTTGTTGCAGGAACAGCGCCACAATAGAAATATTTGAGAATATTTCCATGGGTATTTTATTACGGTTCGTAATTATCGTGGAAGAACAATGATGTCATTCAATCATAGGTTGACCCTAGCACATAGTTATGTGGGGTTTAACGTCTCAAAACCACCATATGATTATGAGAGACACCATTCTGAAGGGCTCGGGAAAATTTCACCGCCTGGGGTTCTTTAACGTGCACCCAAAACTGAGCACAAGGGCCTATACATCATTTTAGGGTCAAAGCTCCTAAGGCGCGGGTCTGTACATCCTCTGACGTATGTAGTTGTAGTAGTAGTAGTAGGTAGCCACCCGCATACCAGTGGCACATACACGCCCTCCAGGCCATATCCGCATATCCACATGTTACGAAAAATGTAGCCGGCGTCGTTATCACGCGGTCGGTGTTAACAAATAACAAAACGCTGACAGCAGAAATGGGGTACATACTATCCATTAGTCCTTCGATTGTCCACTGGATGGCGGTACTTGTATATGATGAATATCTGATAAAAAAAAACGCCAGGCCTGCGCGGTAGGCCTTTCAGAGACTTTTCAAAACACTTACTGGGCAACTATACTGCAAGTACACTTGCTTTGTACCCACAAGGGCCTTAATAATAAACTTTTGGGTAGTAGACCGGTATTCGCTATGCTATTTTTTGTCATTCTTCTGAGAAGCGTGGTATCCGCTAAACACTTGCAAGAAATTTTGTGACAATTGTCCATGCAGTGCCTGACGACGATGAGGAATCATGACTAAAGGTGGTATGCGCCACTGTCAATTACAGATTCTTTTTCAGTATGTGCTGCTCTGTCTTCAGGAGCCAACTTAACACTTATGCACATGTTTCGACAACTCACACCGACAAACTTGAAAAAACTGCAGCTCTTATGGGTACCAGGCTATCGTGGCATATATCTCAATGAGATGGCAGATGCACTAGCCACAGTATCTCTTAGCGGTCCCCTTTTCCCGATTTTGCCTGTGTCACAGAACGAGCGCTAAAAATGAGCGCGACGCCAAATTCTTGCGACAACGGGCGGGAGAAACGCCGCGAAGTCAAAAGAAAAAAAAAGGAAAGAAAAAGAAAACAAACGGCCAAGGCTCTCCGGGCGCGCGACGACTCTCCTCTCGGAAGCGTGGCTTCACCGATGAACCTCCTCACCCCACAGCGGCGGCCGGGCAAGCACTGGAACGTTCCAGAAGGAAATGGGCGTGTATGCCGGGTTGACTCATCTGTCGGGGACGGCCCCCGTACAGTCTCGCGCCTCTCCCCAGCCTTCGTTGCGCATCGCGCCGACGAAATGAGGAGAACTTTCTGGAAGGTGGCGCGGAAGGTATTTAATCGAGCAGCCGAGACGAGAAAGCAGGAGGAGACGGAAGTTAACGCCAGAGCGCGTAGGGATTCCGCCGTGTAGTCGGCGAAGGTTTTGGTCCGTAGGGACGAGGCCGGAGATGAAGAGGATTTCCACCTGAGGGGTGAAGCTCGAGCTACAGGCAAGAGCGTGTGTTTACCGCTATCGAGCGAGGACGCGTGGCAACAGCTGCGGGTGTGAAGCCGACGTGTTCCGGCGAAGAAGTTGAAGTTTGAAGAGTGGCCAATTGAAGACGGGAGGTTTCCTGGAAGAGAAACTTCGAGGGCTGCGGAACGACAACAACACTGGACTTTGAGTGAGTGATTCTCGGAAGAGTATCATCTCGACTTTGGTTCCAAGAACTTTGGACTGAATAGGTTTTCTATCTCTTTAGTCTTTAAGTGTCTTGGTTGTTCAATGCATGCGACTGCATTGTAGTGCGTATTGTTGTCCGTGTCCGTTGTTTCAAGTGTGGCTGATTGTATTGTGTAGTACGTTGATTGATTGGTTTGATTGGTGACATATTGTATGCAACTATTGTGGAGTGTGCATTTTTGTGTATTGTTTCTGATCTGCCATTATTGAGAATATAATTTTGTTTGTTTATCAACTCTCGGCTCTGACTTGTTCTTTGGGCCACAGCCGGCGTCTGCTGGCGCGCCAATAAGGACCACTCCTAAATTGTCCACGCTTTCGTGGTGCGGTTCGGAGGGCCGATACTTCGGCTCATAGAATTAGCCCGGCGATCGCCTCCCTAATAAACGGGACATGTGTGACAATTAATCTGGCGTCCGCGACAGGACCTTTTGGTGCACAGTGTGTCCAAAGTAGTGAGAAAGAGCCTCGAGTTGTTGATAGTGCTATCGGAACGATTTTGTGTGTTGTTTAGTGTTCTCGTTAACGAGTGCAGGGGAGTGTTCCGATAGACCGATTTAGGCAGATACTTTTTGCACGCGGCAAGGTTTTATTTGCAAGTTGCCAGACACAATGGATCTCGAAAAGTTAGTTGCGCTTGGTGAGAAGATGGGTCTTTCCGGCGCCGAACTACGGAAATGGGTAAGCCAGAAGGAGAAAGAGGCGGTGGAGAGAGAAAGGTTGGCAGCTGAGAGAGCCAAGGAAGAAAAAACAGCTGAGTTGGAACGAGAGAGGTTGGCGGTCGAAAGAGCCAAAGCGGAAAAAGAAGCTGAGTTGGAGAGAGAGAGGTTGGCAGCAGAGAGGGCCAAGGAAGAAAAAGCAGCTGAGTTGGAACGAGAGAAGTTGGCAGCCGAAAGGGCGAGAGAAGAAAGAGAAGCGAGGGAGCGACAGCTGAAAGAAGAAAGAGAGGAAAGGGAGCGGCAGCGGCAGCACGAGATGGAACTCGAGCGGCTCCGGTTGCAACAGCGAAGTGAAACTCCCGTCCAAGCTAGAGTTGAAAGCAGCGAACGGGAAGATCACGGCTTCCGCTTGAACCCAAGCAAGCTGCTCGTAGCGTTTGATGAAAGGAAGGACGACCTAGACGCGTACCTCCACAGATTTGAGACGATTGCGAGGAGCCAGAATTGGCCGGAACAGCAATGGGCAACTGCTTTGAGTACTTGCTTGAGTGGTGAAGCGCTCAGTGTGTACGGTAGGCTGACGCCGACCGATGCAGCCAACTATGCAAAGGTGAAAGCTGCTTTGCTGAAGCGATTTAGATTTACTGTAGAAGGATTCCGGGACAGATTTAGGACAGGAAAGCCAGCTGATGGGGAGACGGCTACGCAGTATGCCGCCCGACTTTGCCATTATTTAGACAAATGGATTGAACTTTCAGGGACAGCGCAGGAGTACGATGAGCTTAGAGAGCTGCTAATTAGAGAACAATTTCTTACTAGTTGCCACCCAAGCCTGTCACTGTACTTAAAAGAGAGGAAGGCTGACTCACTTGAAGACATGCTGGAATTGGCTGATCAATTCTTGGAAGCGCAAGGTGGCACTAATTTGGCCAAGGTCAAGAAGGATTGTCCCGATGATTCGAAGAAATTGGCTCCCGAAGAAAAGAAGCGTGCACCAGAGAGCATTCCGCGATGTTTTCTGTGCAACCGAGTGGGTCATCGCGCGAAAAACTGTCGAACGATCTTTACGAGCCCTACGGTTGTAAAATGTTTTAAGTGTGGTCAGACTGGGCACAAAGCAGACGCTTGTCGGAACGGAGTGAGTCAAACTCACCAGGTATCCTGTGTGCAAGCAGCACCGAAATCTGATAATAATGCCGTCACTGATGGATTCGTAGAGTTGAAGAATGGGGAGAAAATTCCTATTGTGGGGGCTGTAATGTCAAAACAGCCAACCGGTGTTACGAAGGGAATGCCAACGCTTCCTGGAAAGATTGCAGGCAAGAAGATTACGGTTCTAAGAGACACCGGTAGCTCCACGGTTATCGTGAGGAGAAATTTGGTACGGGAAAGAGAGTTGACAGGCAGAACGAAACCGGTTTGCCTAATTGACCGTACGGTCCGGATGCTTCCCGAAGCAGAAATTGAGGTTGAAACCCCGTACTTCAGCGGGAAGGTTACTGCTTTATGCATGACGACCCCCCTGTATGACCTTGTCATCGGAAACATCGACGGGGCGCGAGGGCCAAGTGATCCAGAATGTTTGGGAGAAGACCCGAAGATAGAGCCCTCGCCAACACAGCGGCCGCGAGATACAGTGGAGGAACATCCCGTGACGGATCTCACTAGAGCCCAAGGTGAAGCTGCGGCGCAAGAGACAGCGAAGGAGAAGACGATCGTGTCGAATGAGTTCACGGGCCGAGCAACTGGACTTACGTCGGCACGACCTCAACCGACCGACAGTGTAAAGGAGACGGAGTTGGCCAGCCGGGCAAAATGTAGAGGCATGATCAAGCGGGTAGATAACCAGACAGGACCCGTCGAATGTAATGACGCGTTAACGGTGTCGGAAGAGACAACGATGGCTGAGACGACGCCTCAGATATCGCCGTTGGAAAGGGCTCGCCGAAAAAGAACAAGGAAGCACAAGAAGAGATCGAGCGAGCACCGCAAGAAAGGACGCAAGCGCAGCTCGAAATACACAGGATAAGTGCTGAAGTCGAATCAGAATGTGTTTGGCAGTGCTGAGTGCCATATGTTGTGTTATCCTGTGTCGCAAGTGTCGAACTGTCTGTGCTGTGATGTGATGTATAGTGTTGTATAATTGTTGTAAAGACAGAACCTTGTACGTTTGTATTGTTTGGAATGTGTGATGAAGCGTTGTACTTATGTACCTGCGGTTATATTTCATGTGTGTGAAATTGAATTGTAATGTCCAATCGTATTGAGTGATATATTGTGAATGTGACGTGTCATGAGCGACGGACTATGTTACAATCTTTGAGAGTGTGGGGACTGTTCGCGCTCGTTTGTGTGGTTTTGAATATTATCAGATAATATTCTTAAAGTGGGGGGCAGTGTCACAGAACGAGCGCTAAAAATGAGCGCGACGCCAAATTCTTGCGACAACGGGCGGGAGAAACGCCGCGAAGTCAAAAGAAAAAAAAGGAAAGAAAAAGAAAACAAACGGCCAAGGCTCCCCGGGCGCGCGATGACTCTCCTCTCGGAAGCGTGGCTTCACCGATGAACCTCCTCACCCCACAGCGGCGGCCGGGCAAGCACTGGAACGTTCCAGAAGGAAATGGGCGTGTATGCCGGGTTGACTCATCTGTCGGGGCGGCCCCCGTACAGTCTCGCGCCTCTCCCCAGCCTTCGTTGCGCATCGCGCCGACGAAATGAGGAGAACTTTCTGGAAGGTGGCGCGGAAGGTAATTAATCGAGCAGCCGAGACGAGAAAGCAGGAGGAGACGGAAGTTAACGCCAGAGCGCGTAGGGATTCCGCCGTGTAGTCGGCGAAGGTTTTGGTCCGTAGGGACGAGGCCGGAGATGAAGAGGATTTCCACCTGAGGGGTGAAGCTCGAGCTACAGGCAAGAGCGTGTGTTTACCGCTATCGAGCGAGGACGCGTGGCAACAGCTGCGGGTGTGAAGCCGA